CTTTTCTTTGTTGTATTATTTCAGATAAACATAGACTTTCAAACCAAAACGCTCATTGCCCAGAACATCCAAGAGGCTACAAGTGGCTGCTTCGCGACGGCCCAGAAGAGGGTGTACAGCCTGATGGAGAACAACTCCTACCCCCGGTTCCTGGAGTCGGCGTTCTACCAGGATTTGTGTAAAAAGCCCCAGATCGCCGCCGAGGCCCATGCTACATGAGATGACAGCGAGCCCCAGCGTGGAGGACTTTCCATTTTGTTCCTAAGGGGGAAAGGCTGCGACCTTCCCCGAGGGACTGACCTTGAATTCAGCCTGGGTGTTGGGGAGATGTCACTCAGATCTGTTGATTCAGAGTTGGGGAGCGCACTGGGAAGCTGGCAGCCCCCAGGAGAGGCTTGGACCGGGGTGGCCTCCGTGACTGTGACTGTGCAGCACACGGGGAGCGCGTGGTCTGATCCGGGGGTGTCTCCCGCTGGAAGGGCAGGAACCTGGGAATGGAAAGAGAACGATGAAATACTGTTGGTCCAAAAGCATTTTGTAAACCAATGGGTCTGGGATCCTGTGGCCTTAGGTAGCTAGCTGGCTGTACATCTTTCCCAAGGTCGGTCCACGTTGCCACACAGTGGTTTTAGTTTTAGTTTGTTTTCGTGCTAAGTAATGTTAACGTGTTTACTACGTGCAAGCATATCCAAGTGCTCATGACTGCAGATCATCGGTCCCGTGGTCTCGTAACCCTGAAACTGAAACGGTCTGTGTTTTTACTGCCCCTCAGTGTGTCCCAGAGTGAGTGCTACTGTGTAGGAAATAGTGTCCGTTGTGAGTGCCAAAACGTCCTGAAGGCAGCTAAACTTTGAAGTGGTCTTTGCATACTTTTAATAAATTTATTTTGATAAATAATGTCATTGACTATTGGGTCCAGATGTGGGTGTTTTTTGGTTGTTGGGTTGGTCACGGGCAATATGGCGGAATTGGGGCACACACCTCCTTTTTGGCAAAGACAACGTATCAGAGTGAGAAGAGTTGGGGGAAATGGTCCTATCTCTACAAGGCTTATGTAAGTCAGACACTATATGATCACATCCCCAGAGTCACCCTGGGATCAAGCTTTCTAAAAAAAATCAAGCTTGTTAATAACGAAAACAAAAGAACATGGACCCCCAGTCCTGTTTGTGTGGTTCTGTTCAAGACCGGCTAAGTGGGAGACCAAACATAACGTCATGGAGGCAGCAGGCCAAAACCATTCACGTAACTGAGCTTCTCAAATGAAAAGAGACGGACGCTAAGCCAGGTGAATGCAGGCCAGGCTGTTTGATTTCCCTCGGTTCCAAGTTCCCCTACAGAGCGCTGGCCTGAGCTTCCAAAATGCACACCTGAAGTTGTTTGCCCCCATGACAGGTCAGGAGAAAATCAGAATTCTGGCTGTCCTGCCTGCATGTAGCCAAGAAGAAAATGTGAGAGGGAGGGGGGCGGTGAAGCAAGGCGAAATTGAAAGGGGGAAGGGGAAAAAAGTAAAAAGAAGGGGAGCCCTCCTCTGGGATTCGGAAACCTGAGCCCAAGAAATGACACCTCAGCTCTGACCCTGGGAGTCCCATCTCCTCAATTGACACATTCCTGCCTATTCCACTGATTCCTGGGAGGGAGTGACACTTTTGTAAAGCACTTTTTTAAAAAGAAGAAAAACTGACCTTATCACTTAAATTCTTTTTTTTTTAGACATTCTTACTCTTCTCACAGAGTTCATGGTTTTTGTTTTTTGTATTTTTATTGACTTTTAGTGGGAGAGGGTGAGGGAGGGAGAGAAACATCGACATGAGAGTGAAACATCAATCAGCTGCCTTCTGCACGCCCCCCTACCGGGGATCAAGCCCGCAACCTGGGCATATAACCTGACCTAGAATCGAACCGGCAACCTTTAAGGTGCAAGGGATGATGCCTGACCAACTGAGCCACGCTGGCCAGGGCTTGTCCCTTAAACTCTGTTTTCATTGTGCTCGAGCGGATTTTCACCTGCATTAGACTTTCTGGCACCAACAGGCACAAGCTCCGTGACGGACGTCGCCTCACTCATTCCTGTGCCACCAGCAGGCCAGAATAATATATTAATAGGTGCTCCATGAATGGTGAAAGGGTCATTGAAAGGAATATTTCTTTGGAGAATAAATATGTCAGGTCTGCACAAGCCTGAATTTGGAAAGGTCTTGGCCAACAGAAAAACCTGGGAGTCAGGCCATATATCCAAGTTGTCACCAAGCCCTGTGTCATTTACTTCCCATCTCCAGCCTGCTTTCTGTCACCACCCTGGTCACAGAAGCCACCATCTGATGCCTGGAAGACTGCTTAGTCTCCCCTCACTCCCTCCCCTCCCCCAATGTGCCTTCTGCTTTTTAACTCTAGGGATCCTTTCAAGACATAAAGCTGCTCTTGTCTCCTGTGGCTTATAAACCGTTGACAGGTTTCCCAAGCAATTTAGGAGATAAAGGTACGATCCCTACTAGGGTCTAACACCTTCATGGTTTGACCCCTCCTTCCGTTCCAACCTTGTCCCCAGCGCTCTCTGCCAGCCACGCTGGCCTACTTCCGCCCCCTTGTAGGTGCCATGCCGACTGGTTTCACAGGGCCTGGAATGCTACTCTAGTTCTTACTCATCATGCATCTCTCACTACAATTGTCACTTCCTCCGGGAAGTCCTCCCTGACCTTCTCGCCAAGGCCAGATGCCCTTGGAGACATTCTCAGAGCACCAGGTTCTCTCACTGAGAGCCCCTGAGTAGAGTTCTTGTTCATTGGTAGCTTTGTTTGGTCATCCTAGAGCAGTGATGGCGAACCTTTTGAGCTCGGCGTGTCAGCAGTTTGAAAAACCCTAACTTAACTCTGGTGCCGTGTCACATATAGAATTTTTTTGATATTTGCAACCACAGTAAAACAAAGACTTATATTTTTGATATTTATTTTATATATTTACTTTATACATTTAAATGCCATTTAACAAAGAAAAATCAACCAAAATGAGTTCGCGTGTCACCTCTGACATGCATGTCATAGGTTCGCCATCAATGTCCTAGATCTTTCCTCGCTTTCCAACAGTTGATGCCACTATTGGAAGACTGTCTTTTTCTGCTCACTGCTGAATCCCAACACCCAGCACCATGCCTGGCACACCCGGTGAGTAAACAGTCAAAGGTCTGATGAATGCATTCTGGTGAAATAAGAAGCATCTCCCAACAACACAAAGAAACAGGGACAAGGTTTCAAAAGCCCCATTGGCACCAATGTCTGATAATATCTGCAGGGCTTTTTCCTTTGGCAAAAAAAAAAAAAAAATTCTTACTAAGCATCTTCTCTATAACTCACGATTTGTAATAGAAAGAGAAGCCAGACTACAGTCACACACACACACATACACACACACACACACACACACACACACACACACACACAAAAGAAACAGAGTTTTGACCTTTTTCGGGGCTGCTAAGTGACAGGCTTGATTCAGAATCCAGGTGGTATATGTTCCAATGTTCTCTAGTGGAACGCGCTGAAATAGATTTAAGATTAGAAACGAGATACCTCCACAAATAAATGTTACGTGATGTTTCTCAGGGGATCCACAGTCAGTTCATTTTGACAGTATTTCCTTTTTCGTATATTTTAAGCCCAGGAGCATTTCAAAGGACAGTCATTTCAGACAGTGCCCCGGGGATGGAGGGAAGAGAAGAAATTGTCTATTTATTATCGGTCATGTGAGCAGAGGGAGGCGATCTGTAAGTTTCAATGGGTTGCCTCAAGTGACACCCGAAATTTCACGGGAAACAGGTCTTTGGTAGAGGGGCAGTTGATTCGTGTGTTTACCACAATATTTGATGATGCTCACCTCGAGGGGCTGGAGAGTGAAGAGAATGTGTCTGTATCTGGACGGGGTAGAGTCTAGGAAGTGCCCACCCTGTGCCAGGCACTCTCCCAGTTCTAACTCTGTTTTCCGACGTTAGCCCAAAACTGCAGGTTAAGACGGACTGCATCTGACTTTATAGGTTGTTGCCACTGTTAAATGGCTGACTCTGACCTGTGCGGAGATTCCCGGGGTCTGGACCAGATGCTCTAGAAAACCACTTCCCGTATTTTTGTCCATGGCAAGGAGATGGAGTTTACCTAACTTTTGGCATCCCAGCTAAGGGGCAACAACCCAAAGGTGGCAACAGCCCAAAAGAGCCTCTCCTGGAACCCAAAGGGTTAAAAGAGGAATCCCTGGCAATGGTAAGAAGTACATTCTAGCCTAAGGCAGTAGCATTAGACAGAGGCATTATGATAACCATCTTGGACCCATGATCCAGCATGACAAGACCACAGCATACGTGGAGGATGAGGCCTAAAGTGGGCGTAGCTTGGGATCAGGTGGTAGAGGGCCTTGAATACTGAAGGCTAGGATTTTATTCTGAATCAATGGGATACCAATCTCAACTAAAATGTACAGAAACACCTTGGGCTGCAATAGGAAGGATGACTGGAGGCAGAAAGATGAGTTAGGAGACGCAGTAATAGCCCAGGTGAGAATGCCATGGGCCTACACCAGGATGGTGTCACCAAATAACGCAGGGTCACTTTACAGCAAATTACACATCGCCTACTCCCTGCAGAGCACTGATGTAAACCATACAGGGAATACATATAAAGACATGGAAAACACATTTCCTGTCTTCCAAGAAGCAACGATTAAGTGCCTGATAAGGTACAAAAATTAAAACATAAGGTAGGCTCTGATTGCTGATGACAAATACCTTTAGCTGGAATGAATCAAGAATGGTGAAGACCCATTTTTGATGAGATTTAAAGAACGAGTAGATTTAATACAGATGAAGGGGAGAGTCTTCACGGCAGAGAAACCGTTTAAATAAGGGGGGAGGGGAAGCAAGATGACATCTTGCATTGCGCTATGATATTTTGGGTAGGGATGTATATTTGAAAGCTATTTTCTTGATTTTTTTTTTTGGTAAATATTTATGAAGGTTTCTCTGGGCAAGAAAGGTATGAAAAAGCAGAAGAAACGGTCGTCTACTGAGAAGGAAAGGAACAGAAAGACTGGAAGGTCAAAAATCACAACTAAAGACAATGTTTTCTTTTTCTTCCAGAGTTCTGTAAGCTCATCAGCCAGCCTAGTCATCCAGCCCTATGACATCGTCCTCCGGGCTATCTCAGGCATCTCTCTCTCCTTTACGACAGCCAGGTGCTTACTCACAGCTGTCATCCTCTCAGCTAGATCCCAAGATGTCTCAGCGCCTGGGTCCTGCTTCTCATTTATCCCCTAGTCTGTTGTTTCTCACGTCACTCTTACGACCAGAAAAAGAGATCGCCTCTCTGGAGTCTCTCCAATCAAGGTAAACTTCTGTACCTAAGGCTCAAAATGTTCCACTACTTGTTTGTTTTTCTGCCCTTCCAATTATTTCTCACCACTGACCAGTAATACTCGTTGCTAGATTTTCTTATTGTGCTTAGATATATTCTCTCTCTTATTATTAAATCCAATTATTTTCCTTCCTTAGAACTGACCTTTCTTCCCTTAAATTTTATTCATTTTTCCAGGCTCTGCCCAAGCTTCACCTCTACAAAATATTGCCAAGTGGGTGTCCATTTTATCTTCCAACGAAAAGGTCAACAACGGGACCATTTTAGCTTATTCTCCTTAATTTTCAGAGTAATGGGTAAGGGTCCAGACACGGAAGATACTCAGCACCCATTGGCCATTCATTAACATTGGCCATTCATTAGCTCATTGATTGATCATTTGATTGATTGACTCACATACTGTTTAGGAAAAAATGCATGCAGTGATATCATGCTTTTCATTTAAATTTGCTAAACTCATTTGCAAAAACAATTTTTCTTTCAGGAATCTACATAGGTTTTTATCTTGGCTCTACATTTTTGCCTTGCAAATGTAGAGAAAAACACACACACTAAACTATGTGGATCTTGGATAAGATCCTAACATTAGGTCTTTTTGAATCCCAAGTTAATCTGATATTTATATGGCTTAAAAAGTGCACTGACCTATATGGAAACTTCCCTTAGGAGGGAGGCTGGATGTTTGCTTAGCTGGTGTATATCTTAGGCATGTACGGACGTCATACCAAAATCAAAATAATGAAAAGGAGGAATGCGCCAAAAAGGAGAAGCAACTATTTGCTGCTGCCTGCTTTGGGGTAAGAAGGAACATGAATTTTTTTTTTCCAATTCCAATCTCATAAGCCTATTCCCACTTGCATTCCAAATTAAACTCTCAGTCTTTAGCTTTGATATGCAACCACAGGTCATGTATGCCTTGTGCATTTTGAAACTGCAATATTAAAAGAACTGAGAAAAATATGTAGTCTGAGGAAGGCCATGATGAAGTCTGAGAAAGACCAGATATAAAGCTCTGGTTTGAAAAGCAGGTGGTACTTAGCAGACCTTTGCCCTGCCTGCTGGGAAGTTTACAATATTAAATCTCCACTTGGCACAAAGCAGTGCATTCTCACACAGGGTGATAGCTTACAGACGGGGCCATTGAGCATGAAGTTCTGCTTCTTTCTAACTTCTTCTCATTTCTGCTTTCAGATTCCAGAGTTGGACAAATCCTATAACATTCTACAAAAGTGCCCATAAGATAATTAACATTGTAAGAGAGGCTAATACCGATCACTCCAGAAATAATTTTAGTTTTAGGAAAAGAGTCCATCATCCGTCCACTATTGAAGATGTTAATTTCAGTGACGTATCACTGAACTGTGACATCTTCTTAAATCCAGAAACAGCACTGGACACAAAGTCAGTAAAGCAGTGCTGTCCAATAACATATAATATGTCACACATGTAGTTTTAAATTCTATAGCCACATTAAAATATGTAAAAAGAAACAAGTAAAAATAATTTTAACAACATGTTTTCTATAACCCAGGATCCTGAGACTACGACCATTTCAATGCACAATTCATATAATAAATTATGGAAGAGAGATTCTACTTTGATTACTATTGTCTTCACAACCTGGCGTGTGTTTTACAGGAGCCACAAGCAGCAAGGGGCAGCCTTTTTGGAGAGCACAGCACCGAAGGCTGAGTCTGAAATGGCAGAATAAATTTACCCTTCCTGTCTTATTTTCTTCCAATCCCAAAAATACACATTATAGCCAATGGTTCTCAAAATTCTTTACCACTGTGTCACTTTTTTAGGAAAAGTGTCCTCTGTGCGCTGTATATAGGCAGTTAAGCTAGATGGTCTGAATTTAAATCCCACCTCCACCCCTTCCTGGTTAAGTGACCAAATGTGGACAAATCATGAAACCTTTTAACCCCCTGTCTCAACTATAAGACAGTGTGGTAAGAGAGCCCCGTACAGGTTTTCTTTTTGCTTTTTATATTTTTTCAAAATAAATGGATAGATACATGTAAAGTGCTTGTGACAATGTTGGCCAATGGTGTGGAATGGCAATATTATTTATTTAAGTGTTAGCTGTCAACACTACTTTGTATAATTGTCTAGACATGATGGTGGTGAGTAAATATTGTTGACTGGAAGACCACTAACTCTCAATTAATATAAAAAGCCGGACCTGAGAATAAGTTTCTCAAGGGAACTGGAATTAGAATTAATCAGAATTAGAATTAGAATTAGAATTAGAATTAGAATTAGAATTAGAATTAGAATTAGAATTAGAACCTGAACTAGAACTAGAACTAGAACTAGAACTAGAACTAGAACTAGAACTAGAACTAGAACTAGAACTAGAACTAGAACTAGAAGTGTTGCCTTCATGCATTCAGCCACATCCATGCAGGTACCCGACAAGCAGTAAACAAGACAGTCGCTGCCATCAGGGAACGACCGCTTCAGTGGGCTGCCCCTACAGAGCTGCCTTGTTTGCATCTATCATTAGAATGACTGTGTCCACAAGTATCAGAGAATCCCAATCAAGTTGACTTGAAAAATACAGAAATCGAAAAACAGGATCCACGCCAGCATCGTGTCATCAGAGTTCCTGTGTGACTCAGCACCTCCTTCCACTCAGTCCTCTACACTTCAGCTTTGTCAACCATCGTCAGCAAACAGGGTTGCCACCGGCAAGTGGAGCAGTGGAGACAAAAAGATTCCCCCTCCAACCGCAGGGAAAGACGTCTCTCTCTGAAGTCTCGTTGGAGCAACATGTAGAGGTCCAGAGAGATCACGCACTGTTGAATTAAGCCTGCGTTTCTGGAAGACTGTTGGCCAAGGGCACGGAATCACACTAATGCCAGTCTCTGTTAGTCCGGGGGTGCGATCATGGCTAGCTTTGGGCTACTTACTGAAGGAAATGAGGGTTTTGTGAATGAGGAGGAAGTGGGACTGTGTGGGCAAGGAACACGGTCTATCACACAGTGTTAAAAGGGAACTTGTGCTTGTGTAATTGTTCTAAAGTCACTGAAGAGGCAGCCCATGACTCAGTAAGCACATGGGGGTGGGAGCTGGGTGGGGACTATCGAAAAATGGGTCACAGTAAAATGAAATCCAGGATGCACATGACTTTTGTCCTGGCTGCATGGACTGTTTGTCTTCCTCGGTTCAAACAGGATTGGAAAGAATTAAATGAGCAACTAAGTATAAAACAAGGAAATCAAAAGTTGACTTGCAGCTGCACTTCTTACAATATTACGTCAAACTATGTGTGCAAGACAGAATGTGACGAGGATGCCATGCTAAATAAAAGAGAGACTTCTCAAAAAAAAAGAGAGAGATTTCTCACCCTGTGGCACTTACATTCCACTTCAGTCTAGACCAGCGGTTCTCAACCTGTGGGTCTCGACCCCTTTGGCGGTGGAACGACCCTTTCACAGGGGTCGCCTAAGACCATCCTGCATATCAGATATTTACATGACGATTCACAACAGTAGCAACATTACAGTGATGAAGTAGCAACGAAAATAATTTTATGGTTGGGTCACAACATGAGGAACTGTATTTAAAGGGCCAGAAGGTTGAGAACCACTGGTCTAGACAATGAAGAAGTGAGCAGACAAGATCATTCTAGATTGCGACAAATGCTCGTGAAAGAAATAAGCTGAGTGGTGCGACGGGGGGAAGCCTGGGTGGCCTGGGAAGGCACATTCTGTCTGTGCCCCGTGACGTCAGATGCTCCGTGAACTTGTGCTGACTGGTTAACTAAACCAAAGCCCGGTTCTGCATTGCAGTAATATGTCCTCTTTGAATAAAATACACGCACACACAAACTCGTTTTCGTGAGGTCAGAACATCCTCGGCATGTACTGCTTTCTTGCCTGAAATGCTTCTCTCTTCTCCTGATTGAAACATCCTTATTTTTCTTCAAATCCTTGAAGAATTCGATTTCTTTAAAATTTCACCGGCAGCCCTGGCCGGTTTGGCTCACTGGATGGAGCGTCGGCCTGCAGACTGGGGAGTCCCGGGTTTGATTCCGGTCGGGGGCATGTGCCTTGGTTGCGGGCACATCCCCAGTGGGGGGTGTGCAGGAGGCAGCTGATCGATGTTTCTCTCTCATCGATGTTTCTGGCTCTCTGTCCCTCTCCCTTCCTCTCTGTGGGAAGTCAATAAAATATATTTTAAAAAAAAAATTTTTTTCACCGGCAAACCCCCTGCGGAGTAAAGACTTCCTCCTTTTGAACTCCTGGATTATTTTGTTCACGCCTCCGTTCTAGCATGTTTAGTGAGATCATATCTATCCCCAAATATTAATCTTTTCTCTTCTGCATTTGCTTGTAGAGACAGGCCCTTGTCAATCCGAAGCACGCTCACTGCTTGTTCAAGATGTAGATTTGTTCCAGGACAGGCAAGAGAGCGCTATGTCTTGGTCAGGAAGCAGCACAAATTATATTCCAAGGTGATACAATGGGCCCAGTTCGCTTATGTAGAAAACGCACTGGCTCTTTTTTTAAAAAATATTTTTATTATTTTTTAAAATCTTTATCGTCGAAAATATTACACATGTCCTCCTTTTTCCCCCATTGACCTCTTTAGCACACCCCTACCCCAGGCCTTCATCGCCCTATTGTCTGTGTTATGGGTTATGCATATATGTGGAATCTAACAAACAAAACAAACTGAGAACAAAATATATCCAGAGACATATAAGCATGGAATAGACTTTCAAACCTCAGAAGGAAGGCAGGGGAGGATGGGTGGGTGGAAGAGATCAATCAAAGAACTTGTATGCATATAAATATTTTTATTGATCTCAGAGAAGAAGGGAGAGGGGGGAGCGAGGGAGAGATAAACATCAATGATGAGAGAATCATTGATGGGCTGCCTCCTGTACGTCCCCCACTGGGGACTGAGCTCGCAATCCGAGCATGTGCCCTGACCTGGAATTGAACCGTGACCTCTTGGTTCATAGGTCGACGCTCAACTACAGAACCACGCTGGCAGGACCGCATTGGCTCTTCTCAAGTCCATGCATACCCTCCAACCCCACCAAGGTCACGTGGAGAAGGGAAACTACAAGTCGAAGGTGACTCAAGCCTGTGGACCTTCCGCAAAAGTCCAGAGAACAGCACTTGTCACTTACAATAAAATCAGCCATTCTGCCCATCACTTGGGGTGTGTGGGGGCTTTCCATGCCCCAGGACACCCCCTTCTCCATGGTGCTATATTGGAAAACCCCTAGTCAATGGCCGGGAATATGCACAGGCATGCCTCCCACACTGAAACGAATGGAAGTCATTGTCACCTGGTGGCAGGTGATAAAGGAGAAGGGGAAGGCCACACCCCAGGAAATGAGAGGAACTACTCAACCACCATCAGATTACATGTACATGTGTATCTATCTTTTCATCAGGCTGTGAATTCCTCAAAGGAAGTAAGGAAATATATACATATTTCCAATATATAGCAGAGAGGGAAGCATTTGGCAGAGGCTTAATAAATGTGGTTAAATGCACAATAAGCAAATCTATCCCATGGCATATGTTAGAATTTGCCAAAACTTCATGCTTGTATGTTTTTATTTTATTAGGAAAAAATCCTTAGATTATTTAAGACAAATCTTAAATCATTTCTTGTACTTGCATTCCAAATTTCTTCTTATCCATTCCCTATTACTCACCCAAACTTGGGCAATAAAATGTATGCATACTTTCTCCATTTCACAGACTGTCTGGCATGGATGTCATGCTTGTTGCTACCTCATAAATATGCTAATAAATGGCCCACACTTTCCTGGTCCAATCAGGGCAAAGCCATTCTCCTCCTCCACTTCCCCACCCCATGCCAAGGGTCAACTCAAGGTGAACACGTGCTGGGCAACAGACTGGATCGCATGGCCCAAGAAACAAGATTGATTCAGATAATCCCCCAAGGGATGGCAATACTTCTACGTTAACTAGAGTCTGGAAACACGAAAAGATTTTTTAAAAAACTTGAGTGCAGTCTCATATATCTTTAACCCTTGTCACCCTCCTCGGCAGCCAACTCTTCTTGGAAGCCAAGGACAACATAAAGAACCCATTCACGCATCTCAGTGTTGAACAGCTACCCAACCAAGTCCAAGAAATAAAGCAAGCACTCCCCAGGAGCTGGAAGGAAGTGACTAAGTAAGAGTTGGGAAATGGTTTGCAGCATCAAGAATGGCAACTGGGACGGAAGAGTGACATTCCACGCCTCCTCTCTGGGCAGGGCACACAGGACAGCCTATGAACTGCCCTGAAAGATAAACCCAGCTGGGCCTTAATAAGGCCAGTGACAAAGAACGCTGGGCAGTGAATCTGACAGCTAATACTGTGAGTGAGGCTACTGATGACGATGATGAATGAATAACCTATCTGGAACTCTTCGCTAGTGAAGTAGAAGCCACTGAAGAATTAATCGATTCAGGTCTCAGAGGGAACACCTTCTGCATAACCCAGATAAAAAAATAAATGGAAAGAAAAGAGGATATTGTTAAGGCTGACCAACTGATTCCCATGCTTAAACAGAAATGGTTTGTTGTTTGAATTACAAATAAAACATCTAAAGGCCATTAAAAATGTTGATAAAATTTAAAAAATGTATGTTAGGTATACTGTAAACATAATACATACAAAACAGGGGCATTTCTTTTGTAATGGATAATGTTTTAAAATTTTCTTGCTTTGTTGTGAAGTTAATAATGTAGAGTTTTAAGTGCCAAGTTGCATAAAATTATGGCAGGTGTAGTGTCAATTAAGTTGACGAAATTGGTTGAACTTCCAAATGAATTGATTTTGTTTTCAAATAGTGTGTGTGTGTGTGTGTGTGCGTGTGTGTGTCATTTGTATCAGACTGGAAGAGCCTGGGGGAGGAACGGTGGCTACTCAAATCTCTTCTACTATCATTGCCTAGAAGAAAACATAAAAACTTCAGTTGATGTCCAACTGGTGCCTGAGGGGAATCATGCAGCTTGGAAATCTAAAAATAGTCTTTTCAGTGAAGCCTCATCTCCAAAACGTGAACTAGAAAAGTTGGTCAACAGATCACTTCGGTCTGTGTTCTAGCCACAGTTATCTGGTGGCTCTAGTTAAGCATGAATCAAGATTGGGTTGGATCAGCTGTTGTCCCTTTATTGGTTTTATGATGAGAAATTTAAAGATAGATTGATATATTTAAAAAAAAACAATAAAAAAATAAAACCATCCCTGGTTTTGTCAGCATGAGACAGAAAGGAAGAGGGAGATGAGAAAGAGAAGTTAAAGAAGGAAGAAAAAGGAGAGACTGTCTCTGTTGCCAGGAAACATCTCCAGCAGAGGAGAGCCCTGTGCTTGGTGCTGGCAAAAGAACACAAGTGTCACCCACATGTCCCCTCAGAGGCCACCTCGCTGAAAAGGAAGAGTAGCTCCATCACAGAATAGCTGACCATCTTCTAGAGCAGGGGTGGGACACGTCCGGCCCTTGAGCCATACAAGGCCCACAAAGTCACTTGGTCTGGCCCTGCCAAGGCATTAGGGGTGAGTTAATGACATATTTGACTGAATACAGCAGGCTAATAATGTTTAAGTCGATAATTGTGCACGGCCTTCAAATGATGTTATAAATATCCAATGGCCCTTGGCAGGAAAGATTCCCCACCCGTTCTAGAAGGATAGCTTAATTTTTTAAGTTATCAACAATGTGCATCACCTTCTCCATGACAGAAGCTCTCAAGTCCAAGGCTGCACTTGATCAATTTGTGGAGCAGGTGGCTCACTTCAGGAGGTGCAGTTTGATCGACAGCATGCCTTGTCAGAGCTTCCCAGTCCTCCATCAAAGCCTAAACACTGAAAACTCGTGTCCTAGAAAGTAACGCTTCTCTACACGATGTCCAAGTACACAGAGCCCTATTAGGACAGCCACGATCGCGAGGGTACATCTCATTCTCCTGCCTCATCTCTCACGTTCTGTTCCCCATCTGTTACCGTGACCTGTCAGCATGCAGTTCTGCGGGGCAAGTAGGAGGGACACTCATCAGATCCACACTTCACAA